GTGTTTCGTGCGGAATTTTGTCTACCCAACCAACCCAACAACAACCCTCCCCATGTGATCCGCCATGCATGGACCGACCCGACGCCTACCACAGCCCCACTGTGTTGCTACCTGCGGCGATCTCCCGCGACGGCTCGCCCTGCAACAACGCATGCCTTCCGCGGCAACCCTCTTCGAAAACCTTCAACTTCATCCTCAGCAAAGACATCAAACCCCAATAAATAGGGAAACAAAAAAATACAAATAAAAAAGGAAAACAAATCGCTGACACTACACTTCGCCACACGAAGGTCATCTGCGACGTGGACGGCTATACATAGACAGCGGTCTCGAAAACGGGCTACATCACTGCAACTCGCCATCAAAGCACCCTCAGCTACCGCCGACGACATTGCTTCAATCTCTGACGACCGGTATGCTCCAATCTGCCGATGATGATGACAACGAATGAACATCATCGCATCGACGATCCGATAGCTTACATCGTAGAGCAACCACGGATGGCGGCAACGATCTCCATCAAGGCGTGACACATCATCCTCTACGTTTCATCGGATGCTGCGTAGTGCTCTTTTTGAACTGCAACTTCCTGCTCCAGGATGTCACACTGCCTCGTCAAAACGCTGCATTGTCGCTTGCTGGAGAACTCCATCGTCGAGGACATCAGCGCGCCGTGCCGATCCATGACGTCGGCGATGGACTCCAGCGCCTGCTGTCGCGTGTTCTTCCGCTTCATGCTTCGGGCCCCATTGCCTACATTGTTGTCGGACTCCCTCGGCGAAGAACGTTCTTCCGCCCACCTATCACTGGCCGCCTCACTACCGACAGACTCCCCGCCGCCTGCTCCTCGTCTCGGCAACTGCTCGCCGTCCGGATTACCTGTGTCTGCGATGTTGGGAGGGAAAATGGTGTGGTTTCCCAACATGCCTCCATGGATCTCGTTGTAGAGCGCTCTCTCCATCCGAAACTTGAAATTGTGGTCCTTCCTCTCTTCATTTGACAGCCTGAAGAAATCTGCCTCGCCGCTGGCATTCTGGAACCTTTGTATCTTCTTGTACTTCTGGAATAGATTGTCCCACTTCTTCATGCAGTCATCGGCCTCTCTAGGACAGCCCGCGTTCGCCATCCGTTTCGCAATGTCCTCCCACTTCCATTCTTTCGTTCGCATCCGACCGTAGTTGTGCCCAAGGCCGACAAGGTGCATGTCCTGCTCCCACTTGCAGCGCACCAGGAGTAGTTGATCGTCTGTGGACCAATACGCCGCTGATTTCCCGCCATCGTCGGCATCGGCTACTCTGCTGCCACGGCATGTGGATCGACCTCGACCACCACCTCTGCCGCGGCCTCTCCCCCCCCACACACCTTCCCCAAAGGCCGGATAGGCGCATCGCCGTCGTCGTCAACGGCTTCGACGTCCTCCCTGTATCCATCGTCGGCATCGTCGCCAGCACCGCCATTCTCGTCGACACCATCGCTGTGTGCCCTCATGTTCGACACTCCCTCTGTTATGTTCTCCACCGTAGGCTGCAGACGCACCACCGGTCTGCAAGCGGGATCGCCTCTCAATTCATCATCGGGCGTGGGTGCGGGGTTGGGCATATTCGATCGCCCAACGCTGTTGCGGGCGGGCGCTGCCGCGACTCCGCTGATGCGTGCGGCTGCTGTCGATACCCCGCTGCGTGCGGGCAATGTCTTTCGTAGTGGATCGACGGACGGCGTGCTCGCTCCACGCTGCCGCGTTGTCGATGACGGCCCGGCACGCGCAGTAAGGGAAGCACCGCCACGAAGTGTCGACTGTTCCGTGTGCTCGCCTCGCGGACGTTGCAGGGAACGTGGCGAAGGTTGGTCTTCGATGATGAATGTCCGGCTGGCCTCTCTCGCGCTGCCCGACGACAACCTGAACCTCAGATCAACTTCTCCGTCGTTGTCGCGGTCCAAGCCTGCTTCCAGGAGGGATGTGAACTCGCCGCCTTCCTTGCTGGCCGACCCTCCTGCTATCAGCGTCTGCGAAAATAACAACTAGGTCGATCCGCTGGCCAAAGGCAACGTTCCCAGTTCCTCCGCCTCCACCTCCTTGTCCGATGGGGGCAGCGGCGTCTCCCACGACTGCAGATGGCTGTACGGTGACGGATCGTACCGTTGTCGGGCCGCCGCCGTCGATGGGAGACTTCCGCCCTGACCTGCCACTTGTGGCGCGCCTGCCTGCATGTTCGCCATCGGTCGGTCCGTGCGTGGCCTTCTCGTTGACGCCCTCCGCTTCCGACGTGTGTTCCACGACCGGCACGACAAACAGACGTGGAGGAAGACGGCAAACAGGAAGACGGCGACGACCAGCACCAGCAGAGGCAATCTACGCAGCACGTCTGCCATCTAACTCGCCTTCGGGTGCACCACGCAAGCACAATACTGTGCAACTGCCCTCCGACATGTCCACAAACGACGAACTGGCAGGACCTTCATATCGCGACAAACGCCACAGAACACAACAGAGGTGGACGCCGTGAATTCAAAAGTCGACCGTTGGGGCCCGCGCACTGCCCGACTACGCGTACGACTGTCGTCCTGCGAGCGTCGTCATCCTCCTCCGCTGTGAGCTACGAATGCAACGGTCGACCACAGAAGCCCGCCTACCCTCGGT